CTAACAGTCCCCATTAGCAGCTACTGATTTCCTCAGGCTGACCTCTACCCATTCCCTCGTCTGTCCAACTCTACTTCTGTCTGTAGGCTTCATTTCCTCCTCTTGCCCACTCCCAACGCCCCCCCCCCCCCAATCTGCAGCATATATACCAACTTTTTCCCAGCTACAATCAGTTCTGAAGAAGGGTCACTGGACCCGAAACATTAGCTCTGCTTTCTCTTCTCTCACACTGCTGGACCTGCTGAGTTTTTCCAGCAATTTCTGTTTTTGGTTTTGATTGATGCTAAGCTCCTCATGATTGGAGCAAACCCAGGTTTCAAGAGATGACATTGTTTTCTCTGGGTTTTCTCATGGTTTAGAATTCTGATGTGGGGTTGTCATGGACAGGCACGGTCACATTGCTGTTGGGGGTGAAAGATTACTGGGGGTGGGTGAGAACATGGTGTTGAGTCCACCATTTTCTCCTTGACTAGCAGAGCAGTCTAGAAGGGCTGAATGGTCTAATCTGTCTGTATGTTTGCAGCTGGGTCACCTCTGGCCACATGTTGGATGGCCAGGGTTTGAAGATAAACCTAAAACAAAATGTAGTACATTACCAGCCAGTGTTCCCCCGCCCGCCCCGGCAGTTAGGGAGGCGCAGGGGTGTGCGCGCACAGAGGGGCACGCGCACGCACAGACACACGCAGGGGCATGCGCACGCAGGCTTCCACAAGCACACAGACAGGCACAGAGCTACACGTGGACACGTGCACGCAGACAGGCACACAGTTACATGTAGACGCGCGTGCGCAAAGGCATGCACAGGGATGCGTGCAGACAGGAACACAGCTACACGTGGACACGCGCGTGCACAAGACGTGGGCATGCAGACAGGCACACAGCTGGATGTGGACACGCGTGCACGCAGACAGGCGCAGACAGGCACAATCGCACGTGGACACACACGCACACAGGCGAGCACAGCCGCATGTGGACGTACGCATGCACTGGCGTGCACAGGGACGCACGCATGCAGATAGGCACACAGCCACATGTGGGCACGCACGCGCACGCAGACCGGCACAGAGCTACATGTGGACATGCGCGTGCACAGGGACGCGTGCACGCAGACAGGCACACAGCCGCACGTGGACACACGTGCACACCCCGTTGCTCCCACTTGGAAGGACTGGAGCAGTTGTGACCGACTGGCTTCCTACTGACCTGACCTCTGACCCTGCAGGTTGGCCCCGGTAACAGCTGGAGGTTGAACAGTCGGAAGGAAGCAGGGTTACTGTCTGGTGTGGTCCTGATGCAGAAGATCATCGTTTACCTGTCAGACACCACGTTAATGGATGTACTGCCCAAGATTAACCAGGAGGTGCTTCTCCCGGTGCTGGATGCACTGACATCACCGTACACCAGGTAGGCCCCGGCTCTGGGAGGCAGCGCTTCCGCAAGTCTGTTTCTCTCGCTCCTGGGAACGTTCCTGAACCCGCAACACGGCTTCAGTGAGAGAGAGAGACAGACTTGGTGCAGAGATAAATAAGAACATCTCTCACCCCCACCCCACCCCACCCCACTTGACACACATCTGCTCCTATCTGCCCCCACACACACACACAGTGTGAGAGAGAGAGAGGCACACAGTGCACAGATAAACCAGAACATCTTCCCAACTCCCCCACCCCCATACAGGCACCCGCTCAAATTCCAACTCTCACACACGCGCACACACATACCCCCACCTCCACCCCCACATATGCACATCGACCTACATGCACACATCCCTGCGCACACACGCACACGCTCATGCCCTGTGAGCAGAGATTCGCCATCGTACCCAACAGACCTGGAGGGCTCTACCCCCCCAGGAGTCTCGGAGAACTTTGGGCTCCGTGAGTGGAGCTCTCAGCAAAGAGGACTTAGGTACATTTGATGGGGACAGTGTCAATGTGGCTTAATTTTCAGTTTAAAAGATTTAAGGGTGCTTCCTCTATGTTTCTAACCATGTGCTACCCCTCGGGACAGTACCTAGCTGTCTTGGCCCTCTGTATCCAGTCAGCTTCTGTTAGTGAAGGTTTTCCAGACTGCTTTAATATGGTTAGAATGTGCTGGGTTTGGAAGGAGTGGATGTGGGAGGTGTTACTCTGTGGCTGCTATTCTCAGTTAGAAACCTGTTTGGGTCAGTGGGATGTTTGTAACCTGTCTCTCTCTCTCTCTTTCTGCGTGTGTCTCAGTTTCCCAAGTGGAGCACAGGCTCGCTCAGTGCTCTGTGTGAAGACCCTCAGTCTGATTGTCCTGGTGTGCCTGAGGATTGGGCAGGAGATGGTGACCCAGCACATGAGTGAGATTCTGCGTCAATTCTTTGAAGGATTCTCTGTCTCTGCTGATATAGAGCAGGTACGTCGCTAGTAACTTCACAATCTCTCCCCATTGGCCAATCACGAGCTGTACTTCACTGGAATCCATCGCTTCGCAAATACGCGATGTTTGTCGTCCCATCCCCACACTGAGAGAAAATATTAATAACCACTGCAATGCTGAGGGAGCGCCGCGCTGTCGGAGGGTCAGCGCCGCGGGAGTAAAGCAGATCCCGGTCTGAGATGTTTGAGAGAAGGAACCCACGCTCGGGAGAGTGAGGTGGACGTTTTGTTGCTCTTGGTCAGGCCTTTGGCTGTTTGTCCTGAGTTTGCTTCTCTCTCCGCAGGTGGGAGCGAGTGAGAGATTGAAGCCTGGAGGCCTTGGACACTCCGACAGCCAGGATCGAGGCTGGGATCCCACTGCACTCCAAGAGCTGCAGAAGGTGTTCAATTTGGAAATGGCTTATTCTGCCTACGTTCCATTCAACTGCCTGATTGGTGAGGGGTGTCTTGGCGTTGGGGGGGTGTGTGGGAGGCACAAGTGGGAGGTTCACGTCATTGAGGCCTCTCTCTGGAAGGTCTCGGGGGGAGGAGGGACACAGTGAGCTGGGGCAACGGTTCATGTCTCTCGGATCCCCCTTCGCTGGCCTCATTGTGAGGGGCCAGGAGATGTTCTGTCTGTCAGTTCCACGTGGGGACCATCTCAGGCCTGACCCAACTCTGTGTCCCACTGTGGGAGGTGGGGGTGCTGGCTCTGACAGTTGATTCTCAGCCTCTGAGTGAAGCTGTTTGGTGTTTGCAGGTGATTCGATGATTAAGAAAGTTGTTTGGAATCACGATCACATCTGGAAGCTGATGACCCAGTACCAGGAAACAGTGAGCGTGCAGAGCCTGGAATCGGCCATTGCACTCTCTCTGGGTGCCCAGCATGGGAAGTCTGTCACTTTACCGGACCGGCCTCTGGCTGACGATGGAGTAACGGGAACGTTTGGGAGCGTGACGGTGGGGAATCGGATTGAGATCCCAGCGGACAGCGTTTCGGAGCCTCGTCTCTCGGCCCAGGCGAAGCAGTCCCCCGCTCCTTTGGCGTTCGCTAGCTGCCAGCAGGGGGGTGCCTTGAAACAGGAGCTGCCCCGCAGTGCTCGGATGCTGTGTGGGAATTGGCTGGCCTATTGGCAGTATGAGATCGGGCTGAGTCAGTACGATACCCACTTCCACTTCCATCAGATTCGGCTGCAGACCTTCACTGGGCACACAGGCACTATCAAATCACTCTCGAGCCTGAGCGGTGAAGACTTCTTCCTGAGTGCCAGCCGCGACAAGACAGTGCGGCTCTGGCCTCTCTATAACTACGGTGACGGCACGAGAGAGATGGAGCCCCGCTTTGTGTACTCTGAGCACAGGAAGTCTGTCTTCTACGCCCACCAGGCCGAGGCACTGCAACAGGTGGTGAGCTGCGATGGTTCGATCCATCTCTGGGACCAGTTCACAGGTAAGATAGCACGGGACCCCACCCCCCTCACCGTCACCATGTTAACCGTGGCTCCCAAACAGGGATGGCAATGACCCCCCGCACCCACGGGGACAGTTGTCCCCCACCAAAACCCCAACCCAGATGTCTTTGAGCAGAGTCAGGAGGAGCTGTGATGGCACCCCTGGCTGAAGATCTCACTGCCAGTGGTCTGCTGGGCACAGTGTTGTGGTTCTCTGGCAGGCTGAGCTGGTGACGGTGGAGAGTGCAGAGAGTGGGATCTTTCTGTGCTCGGGGATTTGCTTTCCGATGGGTCATCCACCAAAATCCCACTTGCTGCTGTAAACATGTCTCCACCACTGACGCCCCTCGCCCCACCCCTGAGCTGGAGGGGGGGCGGGGGAAGGACTCTGAGGGAGGGTTTCGAGAGGGAGGAAGGGGAGTTTCTGGGGGAGGGGGCGGTGCGGGGAGAGGAAGG